CAACCTTTTTACATTATCGAATTGCACATATATTTATATATGCGCCTATTATTTACATGTTTTCATTTGTTTACATTCCTACGCTATTCTAGATTTTTCTCTCTCGTACTTTTTCCCACACAATTTTCCCACCTAAATTTCCCTACTATTCAAGACAACAGGATGACGTAACGTGATTTCGCGTTGCATGCCTGTGCCATTTTTGCCCATAACAGTTCTCCCGCGCCTATTTTATGCACCCCATGCATAACTTTATATCTAATTTTCGGATTCGTAATACCTCTTCAAGATCTTTTTATTGATTGGACTTGCTAATACCCGTCCATCCATGGTTCGTAGTTTGTATGTATTATTTACAAGCCGATCATGGATGTAGTACGGGCCTTGCCATTTAGGCCCGAATTTGTTGCTCTTGGAATACTCTAGGGCAGCTCGATACATCAAGACTTTATCACCAATCTCAAATGCTGGGGCTAGTTTTCGATGAGTATTATGGTATAGAACTTGCTTTTCTTGGGCTTCGCGGATTTGTCTAACAGCCTTTTCTCTTTCCTTAAGTAACCGATCCACTAAGTCAAAAATTCTTTGTAAAAACGTTTCTTTTAGCAGGGCCTCGGTATGACTAGGATGCAAGGGTTGGTGAGCTTCACGTCCATAAACCAAATAAAATGGGGACATTTTGGTTGTGGTATGTTTGGCTGTTCTATATGCGAAAAGAATAGGTGGAATAAGAAGGTCCCAATCGGTTACGTTTTGTACTAGCTTGGCGATGGATTCACATAGAGTCCGATTGAATTGTTCCGTTAGGCCATTGGTCTGTGGGTGGTATGGCGTTGAAAGTTGATGCTTTATATCCAACTTGCTAACCAATTCCTTCACCATGTTGTTATTAAAGTGTGTCCCACGATCGGTAATAATCCGTTCCGGACAACCGTGACGACATACAATTTCATTATATAAGAAGTTTGCAACGGTTGTGGCGTCGGCTCTTTTTACAGCTGCTGCTTCCGGCCATTTTGTCATATAGTCCACTGCAATAATAATATATCTATTTCGTCGTGGGGTAACGGGGAGGGGTCCTACAAAGTCAATGCCTATTTGATTGAATGGGGCTGTAGCAGATATTGGTCTCAATGGTCCCAGCATGCAAGCTTTTCCCCGTCGTTGACACTGATTGCATTGTTGAATGTATGCGCGAATGTCTGCATACATCTGTGGCCAATAATAAACTCCCCTGATCTTGTTAAACATGGCATCTTTGCTTAAGTGCCCTCCTAGCGGATGGTTATGCATTAAGAACAATACCGGTTCTATCTCATGACGCTGGATCATACGTTGTAATCGCCCCTTTTCTTTTTTATCCCTTTTGTATAGGATGCCGTCTTTGAATAGATAGTGCTCACTTTTTGCTCGAATTCGTCGTTTTTCCTCCGGTCCCATATTGGTTGGTAGTCTTTGATCTTGTAAGTAACCCCGCAGGTAGTTAAAATGCATCGTATCCATTTCCTTTAACCCGTTAATCTATTTGTAAACGTGAACAAAACAAAATATATAAAATAAAAATAAAAAAGAAAATCAAAAACAGAATAATCGAAATAACAAATCTTCTTCACTTGTTTTTATATATTTTCGTTGTTTACTTTTTTTTTTTTTTTTTTTTTTTTCACGATTTTTCTAGAACAATCGTTAGAGGCGCGACAACGCGTCTGCGATGTTGTGCCTTCTTCCTTTCCTATGCATGATTGAGAAATTAAATGGTTGCAAACGTAAAATCCACCTCGCGCGCCTACCGACAAGTCGTGATGTTTGTAGCCATTGTAGAGCGGCATGATCCGTTACGATGATAAAGTGGCTCATACCGAAGTAGTGTTGAAAATGTTCGACTGCCCATATCACGGCTAAGCATTTCAGCTCTGTGGCCGCATAATTTCTCTCATGCTTTGTTAGTCCGCGACTGGCATACGAAATCACATATTCTTTATTATCCTCATCTCGTTGTGATAAAATTGCCCCTAATCCTAATCCGGACGCATCAGTGTGTACGTAGAATGTCTTAGAGTAATCCGGGTACCTCAGGATTGGTGCGGTAATCAAATGCCATTTTAAGGTTTCGAAGGCTTGGTTCTGTTCATTCCCCACTTGAATTTAACATTCTTTTTCATCAGGTGGTGTAATGGTCGCGCGATCATAGAAAACCCTTTGATGAATCTCCGATAGTAGGACGCCAAACCGATGAATCCTCTCAACTGGCGTAGGTTTTCCGGCACAGGGAAGTTCCTTATTTTATCTACCTTTGTTTCGTCGGGTCGAATCCCATCCCGTCCAACTACATGACCCAGGAACTCAATGTTGGCACGAAAGAATGCACATTTTGCAAGATTTAATTTCAATCCGGCCTTTCTTATCTCCCTCATTACTATTACAATATGCTCAAGATGTTCGTTGAACGTTCTGGAGTAAATTGTTACATCATCCAGGTAAACGACGACAAACCTTCCGATATACTCATATAGGATGGTATTCATTAATCGCTGGAACGTCGCCGGGACATTACATAACCCAAAAGGCATGACGTTGAATTCATATGTTCCCCAAGCTGTCACGAATGCCGTTTTCTCTCTATCTTCCTCCCTCATTGACACTTGCCAGTACCCCGACATTAGATCTATGGTACTAAACCATTCGGCACCGGAGAAGGCTTCAATCAAGTCATCGATTCTTGGTAGGGGGGTATGCATCCCTTTTTGTAACAGCGTTTAACTTACGATAATCTACACATAACCTTAACTTCCCGCCTTTCTTAGGAACTACAACTATAGGGGATGCCCACGGGCTATGTGAGTCACGTACTAATCCCCTTTCTTTTAGTTGTTCTATCTCCTGTCTAATAAAGTTTCTTACATCCGGAGCGGTTCTATATGCATTCTGTTTGATTGGTGTTGCATCGCCGGTGTTGATGGTGTGTTGTACCATTTCCGTACATCCTAGTTCCAATACGGACTGTGCAAAGATATCTTGTTCCCTGAATAGCAATTCCCTTGCTTGTTCCGCCTGCCCTTTTTCTAACTCCTCATCTAACTTCATTGCCCCTATTACTTCTTCTACCGTTGGCTCTCCTTCTTGTTCTTCTTCGGGTGACGTCGGGAGTTCTTCTATTTGGGCTAGATATGCTGCTGGTCCGGATAAGTCTAGTTGCTGTTGATCCTGGATATCTGTCTCTCCGCACATTTCCCTAGCATAATACCCCTCTCTCTCGTCTACATCTTCTTCCTTATAAATTATTTCGTCCCAAATCCTTTCTTCATCGCCCGATTCTTCTTTATCGTCAGTTTCTTGAGTTATTTCCCTTTTGATCACATTGTTCGAAATTGGTATTCTCATTGCTCTACTCTTATATTTGATCACTAGTTTCTGTTCGTCATAGTATATTCTGGCTTTCACTCTCTCGAACCAATCGTTTCCTAAGAGGAAGGTCTCGTCTTTAGAGTCGATTACTTGCAGGGGTGTAGGAATTGAAACACCCTGAACCGTCACTTTCAGGCTCCTAATGTTATCCAACGTCCTTGTCCTGATCCTGGTAACTGTTACTACTTTCATTGTTGATTTCTCTTCTATCTTAAGGCCTAGTCGATCCACTAGTTTTTTTGTGATGAAGCTTACAGCGGCTCCGGTATCGACAATGGCGGTAATCGGGGTATCATTAATCTGTACTTGACACTTCATTGCGGCTGTCCTTCTTTCGTCAGTATTGATATAATTCATCTTTTCCTCCGGTGGCATCCTCCTAAACGCTTTTGCTAGTAATTTCCTCTGGTTAGAATATTGCAGAAGTTGCCCGATCGTAGTGCTCGCAGGCTTCGACAAGATGTCATCGACAATATTGTATGAGGGTGCTTGTTCCACTATGGATGGTCTTAGTTTTCTGCGGGGTCTCCTTTGAGAGGGTACCTCCTCTATCATTTCCTCGTCCTCATCTAACACAGGTATGTTGTCGTTGTCGTCGTTGTTATCTGGTTCTGGTTCTCCGAACTTCGGCTTGCTCCTTAGTCGCCCTTTCCATGCTGACTCCGAATCTGATACATCCTTTCTTTTCCTTTTACTTGTCTCAGGGTATGTCGCTTGTTCCTGCCCCAAAGCAAACACCTCTCTTTCTTGTTCGTCCTTGCTGCTTTCTTCTACGATTTCAAAGTACTGGGCCTCACTAGTCTGTTGAACCTTTTTTGGAGTATTTTCTTTCTTCAGGCAGCTTCTAGCATGATGGCCTTTCTCGCCACATTCGAAACACCCTCGGTCATTTCCCTCTGTCGGTGTCTTTGGTCTTCTTGCATTATATTCTCCAGTGACAGCAGGTTTACCGTAGCTCATCCTTAGCTCCCAGAGTTGTTGGTTTAATTCTCGAATTTCGTCTTCCAGTCTCTTTGTTCTCCTAGGTTCTTCCTCCCTATCGTATATTCCATATTCCTCATTTCTCTCCGCGTGCTTGGCCTCTCTAATTACTTCGTCTAGTGTGGTTTCGCGCCCGATGGTAATTGACGTTGCAATCCTCTTCCTTAATCCGCCTACGAACATCTTGACCCTGCCTCTCCTGGATATTTCGTTATCGGGGTCAACTCTTCTGAGTAGCTTCTGAAATCGTTGGGCATAAGTAACCATCCTTTCAGTGCTCTTTTGTTTTATGTTTATTAGTTCAGTATGCCATCGACGTCGTTGTTTGGGTGTTACGAAATACTGTAGGAAATTCGGAACGAAGCTTCTCTCACGGTCTTCCTCATCGTTCCAAAATACTAGCTGGTCTTGTTGATCTTCGAACCAGTCTGCCGCGTGGCCTTCCAAGTGGCTTGCAACTAACTTTAATTTCTTGTTGTTTGACCAGTTATTCGTTTTGGCAACCCTTTCATATGACTCCAACCATGAATATGGGTCCTCCTCTTCTCCTCCTCCGAACTCTCGTGCCTTAGCCCACTGAATCTCTTTTTCCTCATTTTCCTCCAACCTAGTTCTCTGATTTTCTAAATTGCTGAGAACTCTCACTAGATCTCGTAGTACGTCTCATGGTCGATGGTGGGTTTGTGGAGTGTCCTCATCTGAATCACTCCCATTGTCGCAATAATCTGGTTCTAGCGGCATCTCCTTTTATCTATCTGGTCACGAGTTGGTCACGTATCCTCTGGAAATGGTAAGTGTTTTAATTAAATTTGTTAAGGTTTTGTTTGTTAATTATGATCAGTGTTTTTAATTAATGTTTGTGTATTTTATCGGGGAGGGGGGGGGGTAAACGAACGATGTTCTTAATTCGTATCTCACAGTCACCACCAAATTTGTTGCGGGCTAACCGGCGAGTCTGTCGCTACTGTTATCTTCTCCGCGTAATGTTGATATAAGATAAGTATCGTTTAATTTAAACTCTTGAGGTGTATAACAATTTGGCCGGTTCTCTTCTGCTTATTAACTTTGAC